GTTGGTATAGGCCCATTAGCTCATAGCTATATATAATCCCAACAACCTAGATGCAATCTAGGCCGATCTAACGATCACAATTGTATTTAGTATTTAAATTTTAATTTTTTTTATAAATCCTACTCACTTGAAATTTTGGCATGCATTTTTTTAAAATAGAAGAATCTAATAAAAATGTAAAAAAATAATAATTTGTAAAAAATAAATAGACTAATATACCCTTGAAACTTTACATTTATTATATTTTACGAATTATTTTTTAATATTTTTATTAGGTGCACTTTGATGAGAAAAATAGACGCTTAAAATTTCATATGATTTGAATTTGTATAAAACAAAAAAACAAAACAAAAAAAATTAACAAAAAATAAATAAACAAAAAACCAAAATAAAAAAACAAAAAAATAAAAAAAAACAAAAAAACAAAAAAAAATAAAAAAAGTTAAAATATGAAATGAGATCTTGACCATTAGATCGACCCATATTTAATCTGGGCCATTGGGAAATCCTTATGATGGTTTTAAATTTTATTTCTACAATAGATTGTGAAATTTTTAGCTTAAAAAGTACTACAGATCTTGTGGATATGTGAACACTTGAAAATGGACGGTCCAGATAATCTGTTACAATTTTAGGGAATGAAATCCTAATTTATTTTGTCACAACCATTATTATCAAAGTCGAGATGATTGAAGGTTTTTCGCCATAGGAATTATAATTTCAGTGAGTTTTGAGGTGAGGTTTTACAATTTTCACATAAAACCTTGGCCTTATTTGAACCTTTTCCTATATATGTATCCCAAGAAGTTGTTTTTCGAATTTTATTCATGGCCTTTTCACAAGATCCAAAAGAATGTGCATCTAAAATTTGGGTTGAAACAAATTCCCTAAAGACCCCAAACTGTGGGAGGCCGACAACTGTAGTAGTTTGCCAATCGGCAGAGGGAATATTTTTCATATGAAAAAGCGAAAAAAATGCCTTTTAAATCTATGCCGTCCATTAAATGAACCAAAAATGTACCACATATTTTTTAAAAAAGAAATAAATAAATAAAAAGAAAAAGAAAAAGAAAATAAAGGCCAAAAGGCCAATGCATGACATTGAAAAACAAAAACGTCCATGCATGTTAATCTTCCAACTTTAAATGTGACCCTTTGCATCCAAACTACCCACAAGTTGTTACAGGATTAGGGAGCCCTATGGGAAACCATGACCCTTTGTATCCAAACAACTCACAAGTTGCCCTTTCCTCCTAATGTAAGAACATTGAAAAAAAAAAGAGAGCCCCATATGAAACCTCGAAAGCAACTTGAGGGGAAAAGGCCAAAGGATCTCCATCCATTGAGAAGGGAAATAAACTTCCTCCGATCACAAGGCGCCAAGGATAATCCACAAGAAAAGAGAGAAGATTCGGTGGACATGCCTCCATTGCCTCATGGAAAGGCGAAGCAACGGCGAAGGCGCGCGTGCCTGTGGGGTAAGGTGCTGGGCTGGTGGCCCATGCACCGTCGAGTTGGCGTGGGAGCGCTTGCTACTAAGCTATTTTAGGAGCGCCTCAGTTCTATACAAATCTTTTATTTTATTTTTTTTAATGGGGAAAATTATTGATATCCTTTCAATTCATACTTTCTAGGTATCAGCCCCCAACATTTCTAGTACTATACTAATAACTTTAATACTATTTTATTTAACACCACCTCCAAGTAAAAAAATTAATTTTTAACCAAAATATCCCCGTCTTAACCCATGTTTCCAAATCATGACGCCCACGATGTGTCGGTCCAGCAAAAAAATGTGTTGGACCGGCTTGCGGCGATCTGGACCGACAAGTTGAATACAGCAGTGGTATGACACAAAAAATGTGTCGGACCAGCTCTGCACAAGTTATGTTGGTCAGGCACAATTTGTGTTGTATCGGCTTAGAGAGAGTGGGAAACATGGCAAAAAGTGTAGTATCAAAAATTTTGGAGAGGCCATGCCTGGAAAATATAAATTGGGGTATATATAATTTTTTTTTTTTTCCACCCGAAAAAGATGGACACACTGTTAACTCATTGAGCTATGCCTTACATTGTATCTCAATGAAAAATTGGAAAATCTCGTATCGCAAGGCCTGGGCTTTACAATAAAAAAGTAAGCTTTGCATCTTAATTCTCGTCAGAGCGGTTCTAATAAACTCAAATTGATAATATTGACCTCCATAATTATGGATGTCCGACCGTTCATTTCAAATGTTCACAAGTATTAGTCATCTGCATTATATTTAGAACTTCAAATTTCATAATAAACGGTAGAAATAAATCTTCAGGCCAAGAATTTGCTCAGGTTATAATTTCTAATAAGATATTTTACTTTTTATTACAGTGCCTAGGCCTTACATGCTAATGCCACCCACAAAAATTCCAGCTACTTTCAGTATGCACTTGATTATAGCCTAAGGCTTAAACACCTCCCCAAAAGCTAATCTTTCGCTCTGTTTCTTTTTTATCTTTTATTTCCCTTTTTTTTTTTTTGAGATTAAAAGTGATAAGAGTGGGGATTTAAATCTTCCTCTTTGGTGAAAATAGAGTCCCCTCATCGTAAAGCTCGACAATAGTCTATCGTCAAGGCTCCAGACCATTCTGGATCTTACACTTCCTTTTCCTAATGAATCTCGCGTATTCTTTCTTCCCAGTCATTCCGTACGACTCGTCAACTAAGATTTTTGATACCTTTTGATATATAACCCCGCAAGGAAAAAATCATCTCCCAGGGGCCGCTATGACTCCATATGATGGGATAGCCCGTCACCTTTCATTGTCCCCATACCCTACAAACCACACACCTATACGTCAAGTACACAACCTTAGTAAGGGCCACCCTTCACTTTATGAGCAACCACTGGTCTCTTGAAAGCAACTTTTCTTTTATGGGTTACCACCCATTTCATCAATCAATCTCTCTCCTCTGCCCTTTCCGGCCTTACTCTCTATATCTACCCATTAAACACAACTTTATGGCGAGGCCCTTATTAGAGTGCCCACACTAATTTCCGTGGTCCTCTTTATCCGTCTGTCTATTTATACTACTAAATGTTCTAACAGCTAAGAGATGTGAATTTTGGCATGACTTTCTTTGTCAGAACACCAAGCTCTTTAGATATTATTGGTTACTTTTACCATGGAAAAGGCAGATATTTGTCAATTTTGTAGTGCTTTTCTTGCACAATTTTCCTTTTAGGATTAGATAACCACTTTACTTTTAGCTTTTAGAGGTCTCTGATGGATGCAAATCATTGATAGTCAAGGTAGTGGATTCTGCAACATGACGTCTTAAATTTTATTACGACCACAAATATAGACTCATTTCCTGTTGATTTTTCCAAAAATCAAAAATTTCCTCTAACTCTTTATAAAGAAAGTGTTTGCGCTCTAGAGCTCAGTCAGTGGACTATCTAATTTCAGTGGGTAGCGAGTTTCAACTTTGTGCAACTTCTGTTTTGAAGATCTTATAAAGCTGGCTTTTTTCGTCTATTATATACGGGTCGAGGTCTGCCAAATGCCCGTTGTAGCACTTAGCATACTAGTTTGAAAAGTGGCGCCTCTGTCTCTCTCTCTCTCTAAAATACAAGATACAAAATATAGAATCCATTAGACTTACTTTCCTAAGCACTGCAGAAGAACTAAAAAGGAAGGAGGAAATTCTCCTCATAGATAATAACCACTAAGTACATGTTTTCTTGATTTCGCAGATCTTAAAAGAGAACACATCATTTGCAACTTAACCTCATGATTCTTCCCTTTGGTCGTTTCCTTTTGACAGTTATTAATTCAATTGCAATGCAACCATATATTCGATGGGGTCTCAGATAGTGTCTCTAACATTCCGCCATTGCCAACCCGCAAAGAAAAATTGGAAGCCTGGTGTGACCCATTTGATCATTGTAATAGTATGGTCAATAGGGCCATAGCCATCCAAACAGGTTGGACGGGGATGGACCGGAGGAGGTGGGGTCCCACCAATAATAACTCTAACTCAGGTGGAAGTTCATGTTTCCCTTCATCACTGTCCAACCTTTAGGGTGGACCATGATGAGCCCATTGACCATTCTCTTACCATGATAATATAGGTCCCAAAAGCAATATTCATGCATATCCTCAAACCATATATTTTAACCATTGCATTATTGTATTTGAGGTGACAACCATCACCTAGTTTTTAGATCTAAGAAGTCAGTTCCTTTTGCAAAATCTGAAACATCAATTCACTCTATGAACACAATACAAGAAGAACTGAGGAATGCTGTGTCTAAATTCCAGGCCTCCATTACAAAGTCAAGAATATGCTTGAACACAAGCATGGCGTGATCACTCTTCAGAACGTACATGGACTCGGCCGGTTGGTGACTCCGTAGGCCTAGTTGGGTTGTAGAGTTAT